AGAGGATGATGTCAATGATGTTGCTGAAAAGAGCTTTCGCGTGTTCCGACAGATCTTTCTCACTCTTTGACACTCCCGTCAGTGACGGCGAGGACTGGGGTTGGCAGCAGTCGTGACATTTTCTCGTGACTCCGACGGAAGCGTGACTTGCAACTGCAGTTTCTGTGATGGTGCGGAAAGTGCGTGAGGCTCCAAGGAGATCTCAGCCAGCTGATTTACTAAATACAGTAGTAAAAGAAAGCATAATTGGCAAGGTGCCCTGTGGCAGGAAAGGAAACTGGTTTGATGCCAAATAGACAGTTTCAACTGGTCACAGCGTCACAGCAGCAGCAAAATACAGTAAAGCACAGCTCCATAAAGCACACAGCACTGGTGGCAGGGTGGTACAGTGAGTCGTCCCAGGTACCAACTGAGCAGGCAACAAGAAGAACCGAAAAGCACAAATGAACCAAAATACTGTGGCTGGGTGCATGTCATTGTCAGCCACTGTGGCAAACGGGAGAGGAATGGTTCAAACTAACTGTGCAATAAAAGTGGTTGGAAAAGAGACTTTGATGGCACAGTTGTTGGAATCCATGCATCCATGAGCAAGCCCTTCAACCCAGCTACAGCCAGTCGGCAGCAACCAGTACCATTGCCAACAGCGATTTATCAGCAACAACGGATTTGCGACAAGCAGCCAGGCAACGAACTATTAACGAACGACGCTACCGCAACTAACAGCAATCAAGTGCTAACTATCTACCAACGAACTGCTACCACTACCATACCGGGATCCACCGTTTCCATTCAATGACTCGACAACCATAGACTCTCCTCGGTTCGGGTGGAGATAGGGCGGCCGGAGTTCCAGATTGTCACTATGCAGCAGCCTCTCCGATGTGTTTGTCGTGGAGCCTCCTCCGGTTGATTGTTGCCTTTCAATGACTTGACTATTCACGCAATAGCTTGCTCACAGCCAAGAACTTGGCGACACTTTTGCTCAGCCTGAAGATAGGGCTGGTGATATCAGTCTCCTCCGCTGGGATCGATCGACGGCAGCCTCCAGGGCGATTGATATACTCAACAACATTGGTACTTCCTTCGCCGTCAGGAGTAAGAGAATAGAAAGTCTGAAATATACATCAAAATTGTCCAACTTGACTGTCCAGGGTCGAGAAAAGAAAACCTTCCCAAGCTTGAAAAATTTCAATGAGAATGGCTTTCGCTTCTGCATCGGAGACCCTCCGATTGACTCAGGCTGGGTACCGGTACCAGTACTGGTATGGTATGCGTAGTAGAGGTGCGACTGATCGTTGATCACTCGTTCAGCCAGCCAGTCGACTGCTGCCTGTCTAGCCATTTTAAAATAGAGCAGAGATGGATCCAACGGTTCGTTCACCAGGATTGGATCCAAGGATTCATTCCATTCAAGGTTTCGCTCCTATCCACTCGCATTATCTCCTCTTCACGTACAATACTCTCATCAGCCACGGCATCGACAATGGCGTTGCATGGATATGGATATGGACAATGATGCAACCGAACCAACGGCAACTGCAAGCAACTGGAGAAAGAAGAACACATTCTCTAACATCATCTGTTACCATCACTGATTTATGCAACTCTCGTGCAACCACTGTGCGGAACAAATACGATGATTGACAGCAGTGGCAGCAAGAGCAACAACAATAACAAGGCAACAAAGAGGCTAGCCCTACGGTACACAACAGCTACTCAACCATCCTAGCCTCTTGAGACAGAGAGACGGTGGACACAATTGTAGTACTCGGTATGCGTCAACTAGTTTAGCTTTCTGTCTTGTGGTTGCTCATTCAAGAAACCATCTGTCTCCTCAGTGGTGGTCCATGTTGGTGGGGGAGGTTCAGAGCCGTGGTTGGTACCCCCTATTCTGTATTACTAATCTGAGTACCTGGTACCCCTACTCAACAATCGTGTAGATACCGGGTGTAGATCACCCCATCTCATTTTCTCCTCGTAGCTTTTTCACAGCTGGTGTTTTCGTATTTGTCTCATCTACGTTGTTGTTTGTAAAATGTAATAGGAGCCTCTGTTAACATGGCCTTGCCAACCTGCTGAAAAGCCTCCGTATACCTGATTGAAAAATTGGTCCTGCCACTGATGTTTTCATAGTGGAGCCCTGCCAAAAAATGTTTTAACTAACCCCCTTTGAAACCCCCATCATTAAGTCGCGAGGAAACCTCACGGACAAAGCGACGCAAGCTACTAGCTAGCTACCGGTAGCTATGTATCTTTAGCTTGTAGTCTAGAGTAGATGGTGGCCTATGGTCAGGACAGGTTAGGTAGTCGGGATAGGTTGGAAAGAAAATAACTAGAGGTGGTACTGTTAGTCTCTGCTTGATTTTTGCTGATGTTCTTGCAGTGTTGGAAGCAGGGTTTAGCCAGTACGTTTCCTTCTCTCAGGGAGCCCTTTGGTCTCTGCCTACTGGTATCACTGATATCTCTGGGTGCCTCGTTGCTGCCTCAGAGCCACACAGCTTCAAGTCTGCAGATAGCGCATGTACACATATATGTGGTGGGCATACGGTATTGTTGGCGAAGCTGAACAGAGCCTGAAAGTGGAGGCCTCAGTCCCGAAATTCCTCCTGTGTCTAGCTGGATCTATGCTCTTCTTGACTTGTCTAAGCTCATCCAAAGGGAGTGACTGAAGGATCCGTCTTATACGACCGATTGTGTCTTGGTGGTTGAGGAACAGCAGAAACGTCTGCTGGTCCATTATGTAAGATGGTTTTGGATTTGTATTCGTAGCCTCCCATTAAGAGCGAGCTCCCCTCTCGATAGCCCAGACCTCTCTTGTCGAATACTTCCATCATCATGTAATTTTCCGGAATACCCTGGTGTTTGCCGTTGGAGTCCTTGTCATCACCATCATCCCCTTGATTGTTGTTGACGATCGCAGGATCTGCCCTGCCAAATCTCCATCCCACATTGAGGTAGTCAATGTCCTCTTGTGGGTTTCCCCATAACTCGTCTTGATCTCGTTGTTTGGCCAAAACACCGGCCACCAATGCCAACGTCGCGGTCAAAACAAGGGTCGACAAGAGTCCTGCCAAACCCCACCATTGTCGTGGGGTAAAGGATGTGGAGAGTGGCTGGACGTAGATTCGATCATCCTTTGTCGTATCCTTTTCTCTGTCGTGAATTTCAATGGGCATGGCTGTTGCTGGTTCAGTCTCTTCACTCTCTCCATCAATATACACACTCGATTCCGCCATTTCACCCGGTTCCGGTGGCGGCGGAGACCCCGATTCTGGCAGTCCTCCACCCACGGGCATGTCAAACACATAAGCAGTTCCATCCTCTGCATCCTGATAAACATCCATTGCATCAAATAGTGCATTGTCGCTGTAGTACGTGTATTGCAAATCAAAATCTTCCTCTCCAGGAATGGCCACACCCCCAATTGGAATTCCGTCCTCTTGAAGTGTCCATTCCAGAAAGGAGATTTGTCTCCATTCATTATTGTCTTGCGGATCAAAATTATTGGTATCATAGTACGGTCCTACTAGCGGTCCTTGCAACCAAATATCATCATGAACGATTCCTTCCAATTCCGCTTGCAACCACTCCATGAGTCGCTCATCCTCGACGGGTGTTAGTAGAGTGTTTGTGGATTGTTGATTGGTAGCATTGAGCTGCTCCTGTACCGTGAGATAGACAATGTGATAATACCAAGCAAACTTTGTGTTGGGAGCATAATCCACCAGATACCCTTTGAGAGAGGATATTGCTGTGAGGGTGAGTTCTTCAATAGAATCATCATCTTCTCCTTGAAAAACGGAGGTTGCATCGCGGTTGTCTTGTTGTTGTTCCATCAAGTTTCGGTTGATCCACTGCGACGGCGGTTGATACAGTTGAATGACAAAATGTCGTCCATCATGGTACTCTTCTTGCAGAAACGTCAGTGTGACATTGGTGGCATTGAGATACTCTTGAACAGCCGATGTCAGCCGCCGAGGAATGCCATTGGAAAAGTGTAAATGGTCCAGAGCGAGGCTAATGTTGATTGTCACCACGTTGGGAGGAATGTTCAACATTTCGGCATTATTGTTGTTGTCACCTTGTACAGGTATTTGTCCCCGACAGGGCAAATCAACGTCTTGGAGGAGGAGCAGACTCGAGTCGCTGCCGTGCTCTTCCCAATAGCTCTCGCAGTCCACGTCACTCTTTTCTGGATGCCACTTTTCAGCTTGCCATTCATCCTCAGTACCATTATTATTTGCGGCAGTCCTTCGTCGTCCTTGTTGTTGCAGTCGGTGTCCTTCTAATGGTTTGGACGATAAGAAGGGCAACCGTGGGGTTGACACCACCAAAAGTGCAATTAGCAGCATCACGGATAATAGTCCTCTGCCAAAGCCAGTCTCTCGCTTCTTCTTGGAATGTTTCATCGTGCTACCGAAGAAAGAGACCCAGTGCTTCCTGCTATTAACTTAATACCTCATTCAAGCTCAAACCAACAGCAAACGTCCTGTCAACTCCAAAGCGGTTTCAATGGGTAACAATGACGAACCACTACACTAGGCTGTGAGTGCATCTCTTGTGGCCTGGGTTGTACAGCATTCCGGTTGCTGCTTCCTCCAACTGAAGACTTACTTGGTGTCTCTTGATTTATTGAGAGACTTTTGTGTGATGCGCCCCGCCAGTTTCGTTCCATTCGGCTCCAGCGTTCGCGTTCCCACGAGTCACGTTTCATCAGAGTTAGGGATAAATGAGGATCGCGTTTCTCAAGAAACTGTCACCAAGCTCAACGCTCCTCGCAAAACAGGACCGTTCCATGACAAGGCATCGTGAGTACCAGGTGGTACAGTACCATAGACGACTGATGTGTGTCCTCGTTGACAAATCCAAAGATCTCTCATTTTCCTTAGCTAGCTAGCACATCACTCAAGAAGAAAGACAACTATCAAGATGGCGTCTCCTCTGCCCAGCAGTCCCGTTCGTCTGGTCCACAATGGCGGAGATGTCGAAGAAGCCTGTACAGCTCCCCTGTTGCTCAACAGTCCAGAACGGCCCAACGAAGTCCATCATCATCATCACCCACACAATCAACAAGAAGCAGACCACTGGCAACAAGCCCGAGAAATTCGTCGCATCCGACAAAAGTCCTGTCTCGTGGCAACACTCATCTTTTGCAGTTTTCTTCCCACACTCGTCGTCATCACCACTGTCTCCCCACTGTTCTTGGCCATTGGAATCTTTGTCTTTGTTCGAGTCTCACAGAGACGCGTGTCATCCACCATTGTTCCATTGGTGGCCTTTGTCCCCTTTTTGCTCATCAACTTGGCCGCCATGTACGTCTATAACTTCATGTTTGGATTCGATTATCTCCTGGTCTTCTCCTTGATACTGGCACTGCTAGGGGCAGTGGGATTCTACTATTGGCATCGTCAACATCAGGAACTACAAGATATCACCACCAATGAAGATCCAGTTCGAAAGAAGCAGCTCTTCTTTGCCTACCTGGAAACGGTACAATCTGTGGCCAATTCTGTACGCAACAATGGTACCAAGACAAGTTCCTTTCCGCCGGAAGAGGCCACCACGGAACTGACAGTCTTTCGGCCACCCACACAGGGATTCTACAGGGGATCCACCGTCATGCCCATTAAAAAGACAAAGAAGAAACAATCATCATCACGCAATCAGAATCAAAATAATGATAGCGATGACACAACAGCCACCACAGAACAAGACAACAACCCCACGGCAGATCCTTCCACTTCTACGGCAACCGCCACCACAGAAAGCAACACTACTACTGCTGCTACCAACAAAGAAACCACCACTACCAAACATGATGATGGACAGCTCTTTCTCCTCTTTCCAAGATCGGATACTGCCACCGGCTGGTGGATCCGAGGGGCGCGCAAACATGCCAATGGCAGCATTCAAACCATCGTCCTCGAGGGATTCGTATCACTCATCACCAATGAAGCCTATTGGACGGAAGGAACCCTGGATGGAAAGGAAAACACTTTGTACTATGGAAAGTTTGTTCATGATCCACAGCCACAGTTTGAAGGAGAGTGGCTCTCCTTTACCGAGAACCAGAGCCACGCCTACACCATGCCACTCGTCGAGGCGGCAGATCCCGTCCTACATTTTGGGATTGTCTGCCACGAGTGTCAGCACTCTCCTCATCCCGGAAAGTGCTACACGGCCAAGACGACAGGTGCAGAACACTACTGCGAGAATTGTGTTGTCAATAACCCTAGTTTGATACACAGCCACAATAGCGACCATGAGGAGGAGTTTATCGAGTGGTCATTACCCGAAGTGAACCCTCGGTCCAATGAAAAACTATCCTACAGTCCACCATTGGGTGCTTGATTGCTTGTAGTCTAGTGAGGATTATTTATTTGATTCGATTCATGACGACAAGTTGAACCAATGCACACAGGGGGGATTTGCTAAAGGAGAGAGTGAACGGATAGTGCTCCCAATAAAAAGTCGGAACAACTGTTTGTCTGTTTGTTCCGTTGCTCAGTGTCGTATGTGAGCAAACAATCACGAATTGCGTGCCGTACAAATGACTGAAGCAGTTGATGCTGCCTAAACCAACGTTTCTTATTACTTGCAGTATCAGGACAAAAGGCCAGTGTTACTCCTCTGTCTACTTGCCTACCGTATGTAGAGTTGGAAGTAACTAGTTTCCAGTGTATCCTTTCTTAGTGTTGAAGAAACTCTTGCCATAGGAACAGCGATTGTGTCAGAACAAACGCAAACGCAAACGCATTCGGGTGCATTGCTTGAGTTGCGAAACTAGCGCTAGCATTGGGTAGGACAATTTTTTGCGCATCCCAACGCCACAAACTGGCTGTCTATAGCTGCAAGCTAATCTATTGCAAGGATTTTGTCGGTCGGTACCAGCATATTGAGTTGCGGCAGCCACCTTTATTCTTTGGAAGGGAGCAGCGGGTGGCATACATGTTGCACTGCAGTTCGAAGCCGGAGTAAAAGTTTCCGCTGCCAAGATTCGAACTTGGGATGCTTGATTCAAAGTCAAGAGTGATAACCACTTCACTACAGCGGAATTAACGATTCCATTGCGAGCACGGTAACTCTGGCAAAAATATTTGGGTATTTTATCTCAAAATCTTTAGTTTTGTGCTTTCCATTCTTTCCATTGCGGCATTGCGGTACCGGCCAGTATCTACCGGCAAAGTGGGCAATAGGCTTGGCCCCATCATGAGAGAACCCAGTGCATTCAATCATCGCAAGGAAGCTAGGCTGAGATGACTGCACTATTGCACGGTACAACCGGTACATGTACTTTGACCTTTTCGTTTGATCCAAATCCAGAGATAAAAGCCACCGCTGCCAATCTAGTCTGGAAAAGGGTAGTCCAATGTAGTCTGCCCTGGAACACTCACGATAAAGTAGGATTTCGGAATTCACACGAGTCTTCGTCCAAGGGGACCTGAGGAATACTGGCAGCCACTACTGGTATCTCCTTGAGGTTCGTCAGAGTAATGGTTGACTGAACTGGCTGTTGAATACTCAATGGCATACGGTACCGGTACCGGTACCGATGCAGACAGGAGACAGTCTCCACTCCCACGGGGAAAGGCACTTGTCCGATCAGGCATTCTCGTACTAGCTAGCTAGTAGCTGTCAGGAATACGAAAAGTTGTATCTTGGGCTCGCGTTTCTTGCGTTCGCGTTTTTGGGTTCCCATTCTTCAAAATTTTGCTTGGTTTCCTTGTTCGCCACCACGCAACCACAACTAGCTAGCTAGCCAGGACTGCAACTTCTCTTGCAATAAAAAGCCGACTAACAAGATGACATCAAGCCGACATCCTTTACTGCATCATCATTCACATCACTCACATCATCCTAGTAGTAGTCGCAATGGAACGAAACAAATACTCTTGATAGCAACTTTCTGCTTTGCACTGCTGATCGTCGTTGGGACTCAATGTTATGCTGCCATGGGTCGAACCGATCTTCTGACCCAGAATCCCCACAGTGCAGCATTTGTGACCAAGGATGACTATATTTCCGATTCTGTGGTGGAATATCGCAAGGAGGGATCAGATGAAGGACAACCACAAAATTCTCCAGAAGAACCAGGGCTCGATTATAATGGAACTCCACTGCATGTGGTCTTTTCCACAAGTTGCAGCGAGTGAGTTCATTCTTTCATTTTTTGACGTCCATATTCCATATCCGGACTGGTCTGTACCTTACAATAGCTTCTGGTTGGTATTTTTTAGGCAAATGCACTGGGAATCCTACACCTTCTTTTACCATGCCTTCAAGGTCAGGCAACCAGGCACTGTGACGAGAATAGCCTCGGGATGCACGGATAAAGAGGCGGAATTTGCCCTCCAATTCCACAGAGAGAGCATCCAAACCATGTCCGATCGATTCCGACTCCATTTGACGCCAGACTTTAGCAAGCAACGGCTCACGGACAAGAGCAATTACAAGTACATGAACAAGGTGAGATAGTACCGTAGTGTAACCTGTGTTGATTTGTTTTGCAGTGTGTTGTCGACAGCACACACTCACCACCAGTGTGTCAGCCATTTGGATTGAGATCGTGGCTGGAAAATGTGCTGCAAATGAATTCCACTGACAGTCGGCGGCCTCGGGGAGTCGAAGATGGAGTGGTCATACTCATGGACCCTGACATGGTCTTGCTGAGACCCTTGGTACATGACTTTTCCAAGGAAGATGTCATTTGGGTCGAAGACAATCCGGCCACAACCATGGTCAAACACGGGTTCCCCATGGCGCAACAGGATGGATACCTGGGCAATCAGTGGATGTACATCAACGGCACATTCATCACGGGAGACCCAACAATCACCAAACCCAAGGATAAGTTTGGTCCTTTGTATTGGAACACGGGTCCTCCGTACCTGGCGACCGTCAAAGACATGTATGACATTAGTGTCTTGTGGACGGACTACGCACCTCGAGTGGATCATATCAATCCAGGATTGTTTGCCGAAATGCAAGGCTTCATCTGGGCCACGTACAAACTGAATTTGCCACACACATTGATCAAATCCATTGTCGTTTCGACAACAAAAGCACATCATCGCGAAGGTTGGGCTTACATTGACAATCTACCCGACAGCGAAGTGTGTGTCCCATCACCGGCCATGAAGCTGCCCATTGGTTTGCATTACTGTAAACGTTACGGCCTGGGACCAGACTTCTTTTTTTCCAAGTACCGGCTCAAGAAAAACTATCTCAACTGCGAAAAGAATCTGCTCCAGCCACCGCCCAAAGACATTCACACCAAGTATGATTATTTCATTTCACCGCCACCCCCCCATGGCAAACCTCCGAAGGAGCTAGAAAAGAAATCCTTTACACAAAAGCAAGCCAAACGAGAAGGCTTTATGCTTTGTGGACTGATCCACGCCGTGAATGAAGCAGCAACCTACTACAAGAAACACAACTGTGACGATAAGATTGCAAATTTCAACAAGGTTTACACTATCAGAAACGATCCAGGGAAATACTAATTGAAAGTCGTATGATTTTAGCAAAGTGTACAGTAAATGCGGAATGCAAGAAGCCACACAACAATAACGAAGTCTCTGGCAATGATACCGTACAGCGAAAAGACCTATATCGAGGGCACATCCAAAGACAGTGTGAAACAACCTTACTGGCCGCGTGTCCATGAGCAAATGGTTGCATGCACAAGTGCTGGAAGCACTTGAACGAAAAGCGAAACAAAACGACAATTGCAAATAGTCAACTCTTGCAGTTGGAAGGTTGGTCTACTATGTAATTCGTTTTAGACAAAGTGTCACATCCTGACATCCGTCACCAGGAAACCAAATTGCCTGCAGTCGCTTAGTTAGTTGTCGTGTATCTTTGGCGCTCATGCCTCTAGCAAACTCACTAGTCTTTCCAAAACTGCAGCTTTTGAGCAATATCTCCAGCCGTTTCAGCAAAATCTTCAGCCGAATCTTTGATGGCGTCCACGGCACCCTCAATCGTGTCACCGAGATCGATCTTTGTGAGATTGTCGATAGATATCTTGTCAACCATGGACTTGAGCCAGGCAATAATGGAATTGAGGAGTCTCTTTACCCGTTCTGCGAATTGCTTGATTAGTTCACCGAGGCGAACCATTCGACACATCTCGGATATTTTTACCATGGCGGACTCTAGATCCCAAACTCCCAAGAAGGATTCAATGGTGTTGTTGGCATCGCCCGTGAATCCTTCTACAACCTTTAGCATGTTCTGACACGTGTCTTCATTGTCTAAGATATCACGGAACCCAGGCACGGTCGCTCGAGCAGCAGTGATAATGTCTTCGTTTTCGATAATTTCTCGACTTTTGTCCATCTGAGCCACATTCTCTTCAATGTCATCAGGCTCGGGATCTTCATCCTTCTTTCCTTCCTCCTCAACATCGATATCGGCCGTGATAATATCAGGCAGATTATGAAAGCCCTCATTGACCCGCTTCACCATAATTATCACTTTCCCTGCGCACTCTAGTACCAAATCGTCCATGTTGGTGGCCAATGAAATCACCTCTTTGATCTCATCACCGTCGGACAGCTCTTTTGCGGCAGCTATCGATTCCTTATTGAAAGAACCGATATCCTTCATTTTTTCGGCAATGAACCTGCTTCGTTCCACCAGTAGGTTGCTCTTGTCACGGGCGTCCAACACCAAAGTTCTCGCTTGACCCACATATTCAATGCAGTCCGTCATGCAATCCTTGGCAAATGCCAGCGCTGCCCACAACGTACTGAGGCGATCGGACATGGCCTTGAAGAGATCAATCATGACGTTGATCACCTTGGCAGCACCTTCTGCGAGTTGTCGCATAAATCCTGCCAGTTTCAAACAGTGCCACATGTCCTTCATCTTGGCAGCCAGTTTGATCATGTCTCCCACGTCACCTTCATCAATGGCCTCTGAAATCAATCATTAAGTAGCGTGTGAGTTATGAGAAAACCATTGTTCGTTGAACATCCCGGTATAGTAAGCTGTATCAGTAACCTACCAGTGTAACTAGAGACTTCGTCGGAAAAACCCCTAATGGTGTTGAACATTTGTCGTGAAAGAGTTGCTTTGGCGTACAAGTTTTCACAAGCCTGAGTCCCAACTTTGAGGGCAGTGGCAATATTCAGGTGCATCAGTGCATCGATGCAGAATTTGACATCATCCAAATCCTGATCCAAAGTGGAGAGGATTTCCATGGATCGTTCCTTTTCCTGTATGGCTTCAGCATCATCGTTTCCTGCCATTTTATTAATCATCTTTTGAATCGGTGGAGGGACCGTGTCCATGGTTTCTTCCATAATCTCCATCATTCGCACAGATTTGTCCACACAAGACAGAGCAATGTCATCCATATCCTTCGCCAGTTGCATGGACTCTCGCAGCCGATCTCCATCCATGAGGTCCTTGATGGTTTCCAAAGTCTCCACGTCCATCTTGGTGGAAAAGCCATGCAGAGTCTCGGTGATTTCCGATCCAAATTCGATCATGTCATTTCCCCTCTGTTGCGTGGTTTCGCAGAGCTCTGAAGTCTCCACTGCCAATTGATAACACTCGCTGCCATTCTGATGCAATTTGGAGACGGTCTTGTAGCATGTGCCGTTCTTCACCAAATCTTCGCCGGCATCCCAGACATCTTCTGCGGCATCTTCAATGGCATCTCCCACATCCTCAATCGCGTCGCCAACCTTACCCACAGCTGTTTGCCACCACTTGGGCATTTTGACGCAGCAATCTTCACACTCGTTGGGCATGCAAGACTATGAGACAGCTAGCTATTGGTTGAGGTAGTAGCTACCGTGCCTTCTTATGGGTTTTGGAAGCAAGCAAAAGGACAGCGACTCTGACTCGGAATATGATGTACCGGTATCTGGTACCGTACGGTACTAGTACGGTGCCAGCAGGAAGATGAGACGAAAGCCAACGGTCGAATTGAGAAGAAAGATCCACGAAAGATTCGACGTCAAGATGTGGCGTGCTCGGAGCGTGGAGTGATCCACACAGTCCCTCCTGTCGTTACAACCATAAAACTCCAACGAACCACTATCGGTAGCTAGACTAGGCATGTAGAGTGCTCGTGTTGAATCCTTTTGAGGGTTTAGTAGAGTAAAGCTTACTCAACCAAAGCTGAGAGACAAGACATTCGTGTATATAAACAGAAAGCAACTGAACTCCCAATGCCAGTTTTATGATTCAATTCTTCTCTTCTTTCTATTGAATGTTTCCTTTTCATTTTTGGGTTTGCACTGCAAATGCTTCGATGACATGGAACTCTCTGCAACTGACAAAGCACCGCAGGTTGGTGATAGTGCCCCTTTAAACTGACCAAGAAAGCCTCAAAGGATGGCGCAACATCCGTTGGCTGGCAAGGTCTGATTTCCCTTCATGGCCTCGCCTGTTCCGTCGTCTGAGAAGTGAAGGCGGTTGTCATTGCTATTAATAGCCGATAGTTCACCATCAATTTTAACGTTGGTAACGGGTTCATCACTGCCCTTGTTTCCATCATTGCCCATGTCCAAGGGTTCAACGCCCCCGGTTGGCGACAACACATGTGTTTCGTCCATCGCGGTTTCGTTGTTTGGCAACGATGGGCGGTTGTCATTGCTAGCCGATAAATCGCCTTCATTGTTAGTGCTCACGGTACTGCGACCGGGTTCACCTATGCCTTCATTTCCATGGGTGTCAATGTCCATGGGTTCAGCGTCTTCGTCTGTCTCAGTTGGCGAGAACACTTCTGTTTCGTCCATCGCGGCTGTGTTATTTGTAGCTTGGTCAGAGCCAGGAATCATAGAATCCGGTTCAGTCGTTACATCGTCTTCTCGATAGGAATTTTTTGGGGCTTGCGTCGTTGTGCCAACAATGCTCAAAGCTGAATCGACCATAGAATCATCCATCTGACTAGGTGTCACATTGTTCTCTGGTCGTGGCTTGTCCTTACCGTTGATATCGGTCCAACCTTTCAAGTCAAACTGTTCGAGTTGTTGAAAGTTGTGCATCGGTGCTTCATGGCTGTTGGTCAATGACGACAAACCTGCTGCGTCACCAAGCTCGTCGGGAGAAGAATCCGCTTTCGTAGCGGTCACAGAAGAGGCCTCCATGTCTACGCAGTGACCTTCGTCATCGTGCGGTGTATTGGTAGCCGAAATAGCAGCCTGTTCGTCCTTCGTAGGACTACTCGTTGTCGTCGATCGGGCATTGTGTCCATCGGCAGCGGCTTCGTCACTCAATTGTCGACGCGATTGATTCCATTCCCCTGCATTCAGCAGCTCGCTAATGACCCGGTCAAAGAACTGTTCTTCTGCTGCATTGCGCATGTTTTCTCTGGTTATCCATCCTTCAACGATCCCACGTCGCAACAAACCGAGCTCTGAAAAAGCTGCTGGAGTGTTAGAACTTTCTTAGTCTGGCAATCGATTTTCCATGACAAACAGCGCTCACCTGGTTCAGTTGGTTTACTGTCCATCGTCGTCTTAAGTTCTTCTATCCTGCGATCCTTAGACGTTCTAGAATCAAGGTCGAGGAGAGAAAATGAGAATGTGACCGTTTGTTTTTCTTTGTCGGAAAAAGAAGAGCCCCAACAGCAAAACTAGACTCGACGAGTCGTGAGCGACCCACCGTTTTGGAGCGTACCGATTGGGGTCAAAATTGGAAGCTTTTACGGTGGCTTCTTCATCATCATTGTTGTCATGTATGCCATCCGGCAAGGTGTCTTTCCTAGATGACTCCGTAGTGTCTGTTACTTCCATGACGATTGTCTACTCTTTCGAACAAACGAGGTATTGTAGGGACAATGCAGCAACGAACACTAGAAGGGCCGTCAACGTCGTGGATTGCCTCGTTTAGGTTGATATGGCTTCCGGTGTACAATGATATTGTCTTTTTGCTCTCTCTCTGGAGAGGGAACAGAAAGTATGGCAAGCAGCGAACTAAACCAGCGAAGTCAATGACACTTCCACGCCCATTTCCACGACAATTTCCTCTCATTCGATCGAATTGAAGAAAGATTTGATTCGACTCGATTCGGTTGCCACATTCGACAGATTTCTTTTTCGAGCACCACAACCATCACAACCACTCCTCTTTGTTGTTGTTGTACTCCAGCAATGCCCGACCTACTCTTAGATAGATTAGCCAAGAACGCATCGACTTATGCGAAGAAGAAAGCAGTTGCATTCTTGGCTCCAGGCAAAGATGGTGGAAAAATTCAGCGTGAATTAACTTACGCCCAAGTGGAGGCAGAAACATCAGCATTGGCCAGTCTTCTTTTGGAGAAAGGACTAAAACATGGTGACAGGTGCGTCTACAAAGTCATGGGGGTGTATGGAATTATGTTATCGATATATGCTTATTGGAATATCTTGTATTTTCGACCAGGGCTTTGTTGGTATACCCTCCATCGTTGGACTTCATGTTGGCGTTCTTGGCGTGTCTGAAAGCTGGTGTGGTGGCCGTACCCGTGTTTCCTCCCAATCCAGCACGGAAGGACACCCTGTTGATGTTTTCCAGAATCACAGAAAGCTGCGGTGCTCAAATTGCTCTGACTAGCACCGAGTACAATCATATGAAGAAACTGGCTGGTGTGAAGGACGCCTTTACCAGATTTGCTGCCACCAGAAAGGCCAACAATGCCACATGGCCAGAACAATTAACTTGGATCACTACTGATAATGCATCGCCCAAAGACAGCAACCAAAAGCTACCAACTCCAAAACCATCTGATCTTGCCTTTTTGCAATTTACATCGGGTAAGTTTTGCTCCCAGCATCAATCAATCGCTTATTTCCCCGTCAATTCACTCTCTCACACACGAACTACCATTAGGAAGTACAAGCGAGCCAAAAGGTGTCATGATCACACACGGCAACTTGGCCCACAATCTAACAATCATCACGAACGATCTCAAGGCAAAAGATGATACCATTGTCGCAAGTTGGTTGCCCCAGGTGAGATATTGGGAGTGCATGGAATATTTGTATTGAACGCCATTTATTACTGGCTCTGACTTTTTGTCTATCCACCTCAGTACCACGATATGGGCCTTATTGGGTCGTACTTGGGTTGTTTGTACTGTGGTGGTACTGGGTATTACTTGAGTCCCCTGACCTTCTTGCAACGACCAATGATTTGGTTGGAAGCCATATCTAATCACAAAGCAACCCATCTTCAGGCACCCAACTTTGCCTTTAAACTGGTGGCACGTAAATTTGACGCATCGCAATACACAAAGGACGCCTTGAAGTTGGATTCTGTACGACACGTCATTAATGCGGCCGAACCTGTGGACGAAGACAGCATGGAAACATTCTACAAGTGCTTTGCTCCCTTTGGATTTCCACGGGTGATATTCCCAACCTATGGCTTGGCCGAGAGCACAGTATTTGTTTGTTCAGGAGGAACCCAACGATTGACGGTCGATAAGAGTGAATTGGAAGTCAATGGGAAAGTAGTCATCAAAGTTGGAACGCCCGCAGAAAACGACACGTTATCGCGAATGATTGGGTGCGGATACCCCAAGCGACAAGGTGTGGATGTTAGAATAGTGGAGACGGATAGTGGAAAATTGCGAGGCGAAGATGTGGTGGGCGAAATATGGGTCAGTTCGGACAGTAAGGCAGCTGGATACTTCAACAAGCCAAAGGAGACAAAAGAGGACTTTCATGCCACTTTGGCAGGTGCAGACAACGACGGAAGTGAATATCTCCGAACGGGCGATTTGGGTTTCTTACACAAAGAGGAACTTTTCATTTGTGGTCGTCTCAAAGATTTGATCATCGTCGGGGGGCGAAACTATTACCCACAAGACTTAGAGGCAACGGCCGAAGCAGCCAGCAACAATCTTGTACGCCTTGGATGTTCCGCCGCCTTCACCATCGACCCGACTCATCAAGGCGGCGAAGAGGTTGCGCTGATTATGGAGCTGAAAGAAGTACCAGCTTCAAAGAGCGCCATTGAGGAGGTCGGCAACCAGTTGGCCAACTCAATCAAAGCAGCAATCAACACTGAGCACTCGTTGAGCATTGCCCAGATTGTGTTTCTCCAACCACGAACCGTGCCAAAGACAAGCAGCGGAAAGATTGCACGAGCTTGGTGTCGCAAGGGTTTTTTGGCCGGAACGCTTACCGTCGTTTATAGGAAATCGTTCACGAAAATGGGTACGATGGAGATCGAAAGCAATGGAGGAACTAGCCCGCCTCCTCCTCAACAAGCGGCTCTCGCAAAGGACAAGATTGATGAGCTACGAGCTATGGACCGTAAAGACATCGTGGCCAAGTTGGTGGCTGACGTGAACAAGATGGGCGGTTCACTCGATCCAAGTTCAGGTATTAACAACGACTCACCGATTGTGACGTTCCTGGATAGTTTGACGATATCTCAGTTCAAGGGTTTGCTGGAATCGAACTACGCCACCAGACTATCCGACGAGTATTTGTTTCTCGAAACCACGACGTTGAACAAATTAGCAGAAGTGGTGAAACTTGGTTACGCCCCAGATGACGACTTGGAGGGCAACGGCGAAGGTCGTCCGCAGGGGGTTGGTGACCCAGGCCGTGCCAAAGGAATTGCAGGGATGCTCGGTTGTCCTCCAGGTGTCGTCCTATGCATTATACAATGAAGAAGTAACCAATTTAGATCCCCTACTTCATCACGAGCCAGTATAGCTGTAGAAATGTTGGTCATTACAAGCTCCCTTTCGGCCGAACCTACAGGTACTAGCTACTAATGTGTCGGCGTGTCGACATATCGTCACTTATCTATACGTTGCTAGCTAGCTCGACCTCCAGACTGATTGGCTAAACCCAAACTTTTGTCTTTACCTGAGTTCCGTTTGCTTTCCTGCGCCTTTGCTCAAGAATGGCTTCAAATCCATTTCTCTCGGGAAAGTAATGATTGTACAGTTCAATGAGCTTTTCCGCAAAGATGCCCAAGATGTTGAAACCAATCAGTACCAACAAGGGAATGAAAAACATGTCACCAACTTGGAACTCTTCATGTTCCAAGTGGAAATCTCCAAATCCAACAGTTGTGGTGGTAACATAACTAAACCAAAATGCATCACCAAGGGGGAAGTTGGCCTCTTCAGCGCCACCAAGCCTGTTGTCCTTGTATGCCATTATGGACACTGCCAGAACAAGCACCCACACGATGGTCATTGCAAGCCAAAAGATACAAGCAATAGGGCCATGTACGAAAGAGTTCAGGTTGCATCTCAAGAACATGTCATCCACAATTACACGAATAACTGTAGCAGCAGTGTTGTTGAGTGCCAGGAATCCAATTATTGTTAGAAAGCCAAGCGTAATCACCAGTGCCCGACCTTCTGGTGTTACCGGTGCTGTGTTCCCATAGCCACTTTGGGTTCGGATGAACGAAAATGAAAGGCAGACCATGAGTCAGTTTAGCTAGTAGCATTCGAGTAGGCATCAAACAACAAACAAATCAATGTTTGAACTTACATTGTTGTCATGATTGTAAACCAAAATATGGCTCCACCAGCAACATGCACCCTACAGGCATCACCTCCCGTTGATTTTTCAACATATTCTGTAAATGGAGCAGCATCTTCATAAAGATCCACTTCAGGGTTCAACCCCGCACCGAGGTAGGATAGAACCTCTAGATCCAAATAAAAGGCAGAAACATAAAGAACAAATTGAACATCATGGCTTGACTCCCTGTTCAAACCCGATTTTTGGGCCTCTTCCAAAACATCCTCCTGATCAATGGCTTCATCTTGCCCTGGCAGGTTGAGCTTGTCACATGTCATCCAATTGAAAGACATGGCTCCATCAGGTGTGTTTTGTGTAAAGAAGAAGTCAAGGCTTTGGTTACGAAATCTATCCTTGGCTTCCAAGCCTGCACATTCTTGAACTTGTTCCAGGGCATAATCACTAAGTGTCACATTATGATCTTCCAGGCATTGCGTAGAAATCTCTGGTGTTGCTTTCCAGATCTTCTGACGCAGTTCCATGTACTCAATGAACGTCTCAAAAGTGTTCCTGAGAGCAGCATCATTGGCTTCAATCTCACCCTTCATTTCTGCACGGGCTAATAGCCATCCAAAGAAGAATGCCATGCCAATCAGAATCAGCAAGGGTAGAATCAACTGGACCGTCACATAGTAGAGATGAGGCACCCGATGCTGAATTCTCTCCAGAAAACCGGAGGGTTCTTCCTCTCCTTGTTCATTCTGGAAGGCCTCTTCTACAACCGTGGGTTTCTCTGGAACCATTGCCAGGTGCTGCTCTTGAAGTCTTTCAGGCGGGTTGGTGGTAATGGTATCCATTTCTCCCTCCCTTTTCTGAAAGAATCGGGTCATAATATTTATGATGTGTGATGAGAGAATTTTTTCTTGTTGTGCTGGCATGTACGCTGTACCAAACTTGTAGCTTGAAGTACACGCAAAGACAGTTTACCTGGTACATTGGTGCATGTATGACATACTATTAAAATAGTAGTACAGTATCTTCATCAGCTGGCGTGTAAGACAAAGCCTGGACAAAATCTGAAATTTGATACTTATGGAGAAAGTCAGTACTTAAAGAGTGGAGGTCACGGACCGGTATTCAAAGGATAAATGTAAGAGCATTGTTACTAGTAGACTCCCAGAATGCCAGATACGCTGTAGATAGAATGACTTGGCTTGTCACGCGAGCACTGTCACTCCAGTCAGCCACATACAAAACAGCATTAAGCCAGCGATTTACATTTCATGTAGTTTCGGTGTAAATGACGTCACGAAAATGGGTCATTCGTGCTGGATCTTTTGCGTTCGAAATTATTCGCACCTCGCCTTTGATAATACCGTTGCCCAATCAGAGTGCTCGTGGAAATTCAAACCAAGATCACCCCAATGCTCTTTGGCATCTTCCCTTCCATCAAAGAGACACAAATTTCGCCACCACCCTCGAATCATCCACCCATTCGAAAATAATTAAACAAAGCAACCAAGATGTCTTCTGAAAAGCCCATGACCAAGGTCCTCATCTTTGGAGGAAAGACAGGATGGATCGGTGGACAGATGCACGATATGTGCAAGGAGAAGGGTAGGTAGAATTGGATGAGGCAGTGCTGTTTTAAAGAGACAATCGACCTTGAGGTTCTCCGAACATCTTTCGGGTGGATTGATAGGGTTCGCTGATGGCTGGAGTCATTATCTTGTACTAGCTAGATACGAGAGGAATCCTCTCTCTTGGCTCATTTCACCCGTCGTATGAAAGAGCGTTGATCGTCGTTGATATCCATCGTCTCAGGTGAATACTATTTTTGTGACTAATCTTTTCAAATTTTTTGTTGCTGGTCTTTATTATCCGTATAGGAATTGAGGTTGTCAATGCCGAAACTCGCATCGAGAACCGCGAATCCTTGGCCAAGGAACTCGATGAAGTGAAGCCTTCCCATGTTCTCATGTCGGCTGGAAAGAGAAGAAGGATCCATCAAAGTTGGGGACATCTTCCTCGGTGAACCCGACGCCAGATCCCAATTGGTGCTTTTCGTCGTAGGCAAAGATGCAGCCAGTGGCGTAGACGGTAACGTGAATGTCGCGCTCGTTACACAAATCAGCGACATTCAAAGTTCCAATGACATTGACGCGGATTGTCTCGGGTTTGTGGTCCTCGCACCAATCAATGTTGGGGCGTCCCGTAATT